CAAAGGCACATTCAAACTCATAAGTCGAAAATAAACTGACAACGCCATGGCTGAATAAATGTGGATTGTGTCCACATGTGGACACAGATGATGCCCCCGCTTGCATATCATATAGTTATAAAGGAACATAACTGAAGAACGGTAAAAGTGACGCTACCCAAATTTGAACTTGATCTGAGTTTTGTGGTAATAAGCATTGTGTGTAAGTCTCATATCATTTGGTTGAGGCTAACTTAAGTAGAGAACAGAAACTAAAAATTCAGCAATTTTTCTATTTGTAAACACGCATAACTCTAGAGTGGTTGTGTATAAGTTTTATAACATTTGGTTGAGACAAACTAAAGTTAGAGAACGGAAACGAAAAATTCAGCAATCTATATGTTTATAAAGGGACATAACTCAAGAATGGTAAAAGTGACGCCACTAAATTTCGTACTTAATCTGTATAATGTAGTAATAAGCATTGTGTATAAGTTTCATAACACCTGGTTGAGGCAAACTAAAGTTAGAGAACGGAAACAAAAAAATTGTACATTATCTTAGTTTTGAGGTAATGAATATTGTGTATAGGTTTCATAATGTTTGGTTGGGGCAAACTAAAGTTACAGAATGGAAACTAAAAATTTTGCAATCTTTCGATTTATAAAGGGGCATAACTCAATAATGGTTAAAGTGACACTACCCAAATTCAACTTGATCTGTGTTTTATCAGTGGAAGGCAAAATTAAACATTGCATTGTATAAAGCATTGATTGTAGTTGATTCCTAAAGACTTGTTATGCTATGGGTGGGAACAAGTTTCAACTATAATCATGGACAAAGGAAGATAACTCCAATTTTAAAAATTACTTGAATAATGACATTGATATTTTTAGAAATTACGTTTAGTTAAGACAAACTCAAACCAGAGAACAGAAACGAAAAATTCAGCATTTTTTTCATTTGTAAAGGGGCATAACCCTAGAACGGTAATCAAAGTGCTTGTAAGCACTGAATGGTAAAGATTGCTTTAATTTATCAGTAGGAAGTAAAATTGAATATTGCATTGTATAAAGCATTGGTTGTAGTTGATTCAACTACCATTGTGCACAAAGAAAGATAACTCCAATTTTCAAAGAAGACTTTAAAATATTTTTAGAAATGAAGGGTAAAAATTGCTTTAATTTATCAGTGGAAGGCAAAATTAAACATTGCATTGTATAAAGCACTGATTGTAGTTGATTCAACTTTAATCATAAAAAAGGAAGATAACTCCAATTTTAATAAAATGCTCCGCTGGGCGCAGCTTGATACGACCGCAGAGGTCGAACCCTGAACAGTTGGGGCAAGTATGGACACAACATTCAAGCTTGATACAGCTCTGAATTTGGATTGTGATCAAATATTTGACACAGCATAGGTTTCTGACACAGAATGAATGTGGTCCAAGAACTTAAAAATTTTTAATTTACTTATTATGGTCCAATATCCAAAATCTAAATACATGGTTAGATTCAGCATATCAAAGAATCCAAAGAATTCAAGTTTTGATTAAATCAAAACAAAGTTTAATTTTGGACCCTTTTGACCTCAATGTGGACCAATTTGATAATGGGGCCCAAAAATCAAAATACATGGTTAGATTCAGCATATCAAAGAACCCCATTTATTCAATTTTTGTTGAAATCAAACAAAGTTTAATTTTGGACCCCAATTTGGACCAACTTGAAAACTGGGCCCAAAATCATAAATCTAAATACATGTTTAGATTCAGCATATCAAAGAACCCCATATATTCAATTTTTGTTAAAATCAAACTAAGTTTAATATTGGACCCTTTGGACCTTAATGTAGACCAATTTGAAAACTGGACCCAAAATTAAAAATCTAAATACACGGTCAGATTCGGCATAATAAATAAATAAATATGGTCAAAGATTTTACAAATCTAATACGCCATACTGTGCAATTAAAGATTACTTCTTGAAATTTAATATTTGAAATTTGAAAAAATAATAATATTTGAAGAATAATTCTTTTTAATTTCTGAAATCTGAAATGAGAAAAAATTGACCCCCCCACAATTTCTTTTTACACCCCCCACCCCCCTTTTTCCCCGAAAAAATTCTTTCCCTCAAAATATGGTCATAATCTCAATTCAAATTTCCAATGGAGTTTGCAACCATAATTACCCATTTAAATTTACCATAGTGCTAACTTAATCTATTTTACAATAGAATTTAAAATATGGTGTCAAATCTTTCATATGGATTTTTTTGTAAAAAAAAAAGATGCAACATTTGCAGATATTTTTACTGGTCTTCCTTTATAAATATGCATTTCTTTAAACATAATTTAAAAGCAGTGTAAGGGAAGTAATCAAAACGTTGTATTTGGATTACCTCCCTTACACTGTTTTAAATTGTCATAATTGTTCATTAACCATTACTTTATACATAATTTAAAAGCAGTGTAAGGGAGGTAATTCAAATGATGTATTTGAATTATCTTCCTTACACTGCTTTAAATTATGTTTTGTACTAAAGTATTTGTCCATTAACCAGGACAACCTTGTTTTTCCCCCTTTTTTGCCCCTAATTCCTAAACGGTTTGAGCCATAACCCCCCCAAAGCAAATCCTAACAATCCCTTTGTGGTATGGAAACTTTTGGTATAATTTCAGAGAGATCCATACACCGTTCCACAAGTTATTGTCTGCAAACTAGAAAATAGGGATTGTAATTACAACATTTGGAACATATCTATCATCTGTGGAACAGTCAACCAACTCGTGATGATATCCGTAAAATTTACGAAGGGACAATTTCACCTTCACCACTTGGAACTCTTGGTTTAATAGATTCCTTTTGAGCAGCAACCTCTTATCAAGGAAATCATGATAGGAAACACAAGCCCTTAAATATCATACCAACTAGGAAATATATTCTCCGTATGCAGGCGTTGCTGGAATGTTGCTACATAGAAATGTAAAGTTCACAATTGGGAATCTGAAATCATCTCTTTTGTTGTAAAGTTTTGTATTCAATCGACCCTCATTGTCAGAACAAATATTCACAAACCTTCAACACTATGAAATACAAAGTTATTTTCTAAGTTGGACAAAATGATTAAGACATGTTGGCAGTTGGAATGTCATGTAATTTGTTAAAGACCTTTAAGTACACCTTTTAAACTTTGAATTATATTCATTATTATTGATTTTAACTACATAAAAATAAGAGGATACTTTGAATATCTAATTGGATGGATAGCTTCTCCTTAAAATTAATTCCTACCGAATATTTAAGATAGAAATGCTTCATTTTGTAATTTTATTCGGGGTAAAAGCATTGCCCACATACACTTCAGACTAAAAATGTAAGCACATTCAACACTTTTACAACTCTATAAAATTACAAAAATAATATGCTTCGCTGAGCGCAGCCTGATACGACCGCAGAAGTCGAACCCTGAACAGTTGCGGAAATTTGGACACAATATTCAAGCTTGATACTGTCTGAATTTGGATTGTGATCAAGTTTTTGACATAATAAAAGTTTCTGACACAAATTAAATGTGGTCATAGATCTTAAAATCTATTGCGCAATACTGTGCAAATGAAGATTTTTTCTTGAAACTTTTCAAAAAATTTTGAAAAAAAAATCCCCCCAATCTTTTTGAACCCCCCCCACCCCCTTTGGAGTAATATGAACCCCCAAACTCTATCCCAGCCTTCCCTTTGTAGTATGGAACCTTGTAGTACAATTTTAGAGAGATCCATACACTTAAACACAAGTTATTGTCTGGAAACAAGAAAAATGCTTGTTTCTGGCCCCCTTTTGGCCCCTTATTCCTGCATGTTTGGGGCAATTACCCCCAAACTTAATCCCAGCCTTCCCTTTGTGATATGGAACCTTGTGGTACAATGTCAGTGAGATCCATACACTTACACACAAGTTATTGTCTGGAAACTACAAAAATGCTTGTTTTTGGCCCCTTTTTGGCCCCTCATTCCTAAACTGTTGGTACCAAAACCCCCAAAATCAATCCCAAACTTCCTTTTGTGGTATTGAACCTTCTTGTTTAATTCCAAGAGTTCCATTCACTAAAACTAAAGTTATTATCCGGAAACCAAATGTGTCTTCGGACGACGCAGACGACGACATCATACCATAATACGAACCCCAAAAAATGTTTGCGGTCGTATAAAAAGAGTTACATTTTTAAGCTACAACCATGAAATTACAAGTAAAATCAAGCCATTGGTTTGTTTAACTTTGTATTGTTTAAATATTGACACAAAGAGCAGTCGTGTAGTCACAGACGACAAAAAAAAAACACCACCTTTGGATAAAGGACTTTCAGTTTTGAATTTTCCTTGGAGTTTGGTATGTTTGCTATTTTACTTTTTCTTGAAGATGCCTAGACCAATCAAAACAAGTAAAAATGTGAGCTACTGCTCACTGATGATACCCCCGCCGAAATATTTCAGTAAACAGGAAGTTGTTGAGTGATGAATCTGAAAACGCATCACACGGTATAGCTGACTTATATAAACCCTGAAACCAAATTTCAGAAATCCTTGTCAAGTAGTTCCTGAGAAAAATGTGACGAAAATTTTCAACTTGGCTATCATGTGTAAAATAATACAAGTGTTCGGTAAACAGGAAGCTGTTGAGTGATGAATCTGAAAACGCATCACACTGTGTAACGTACTTATATAAACCCTGAAACCAAATTTCAGAAATCCTTGTCAAGTAGTTCCTGAGAAAAATGCTACGAAAATATTCATGGGACGGACGGACTGACTGACTGACGGACGGACTGACGGAAGGACAGACAGAGGTAAAACAGTATACCCCCCCTTTTTTTTAAAGCGGGGGTATAATAATAAGGGAATTGTATGCAACTTCTATGTAATGTAATTATAAGGACTTTAAGAATACATATATCATTTAATTAATTGCAAAACACAGTCTAAATGTATTTCAAATAACCGATGGTTAGAAATGCTTCTCTTACCATTTGGCTGTTGTAAGGCATTAATTGGTATCTGTCTGTATGATGAAGGTCGACCAACTATACTTGAAATATCTGGAAGTCTGTTGCCATAATTTGCTAAGACAGTGAGGCTACATCCTGAATATCCAGGAGGGTAATTTGAAGAAGGTGGTGGAGGAAAATGTTCCTCTGGTTGTGTCAAAGGGGAAGATATTGGCATGCAGCAATTTGGTGTTCTTGTCTTTACTTGTGTACCAGTGTTAATTTCTGGTATGGTTGTACTCTCTTGCTGTTCAGATGTTGTCAATTCTAATCCTGAGTGTGGCTGATTGTGTGATAGTGATGCTCTTGGCTGCCAATAAATCAGTTTTAAATTAATATTCATCAAATACATCAATAGCTCTATAGATTTGTTGATAAAGAAAAATAAATTATTTGTTGCATGTAGATTCTAATTTCATTTGTCAACGTTTATATTCATAATATTGAATTTGAGTACTCCTGATGAAGTTGAAAGCGGAAAAGAGCTTCTGTCTATTGTTGTACTCTGCGAAAATTAAAAAAAATCTATTGTATTCAAAAATTGAAAATTTGCACACAGTAGATTGATTGGTTTTATTTATTTGGTGTCTAACGCCACATTCGTCACTATTGGCTATTTCGTGGCGGTTTTATTGGATGAGGAAGCCGGAGTGCTTGAGGTAACCACCGAGCCACACTGCAGGCTTTTTGAGGTTGATTTAATGATAAAGAAGAGGAAAATGGTATGGCAATTTGTTATCTTTACATCATACCTGCCGAAGAAACCACCTGTATTCAGCAAACAACTGTGTTATAAGACCATAAACTGTAGGTCCCTATGTAGTACATTTCATATAGATTGAAGGTGTAAAAGACCACTAGTCATATGAAACCACAATTTTGCTCTCCCTTTAGTGGTCTCTTAAGACAGTTTTCAATATATATACATAGCGGATTCAATATAGTCTATTTATATAAATTGGATATTCATGTAAAAAAGATAAACTTCACGCAAAGTATACGCTTTGAAAAAATAAGGAAATGAAGAAATTTTGGAAGATGTGGGGTCCAGTAAACGGAGAATTGTTTTCGAACGAGTTGGGAGTGTCTGTAAATTAATATACTGGAGCCTGTTACATGTTTATGTGCAATTCATCATATTTGTCGGACAACTATACTCTCTCTCTAAAATAAATGTAAAATAAAAGTTTCAATCTTAATATACTAGTCTCATCGCATGCCTATGTAACAGAATCGTTTATAATCTGGCTTAGAGGGATAATTAAGATTAGCTCACTTTTGATTGCATTTTCATTTTCAATGTATCTTGCCTTTATAAAAGTGCGAGTGTGATCATATGTAAACGGTTGACTGCGGATCATTGTCTTTATGCAGCATCCGAGTTAAATATTTCGACATCTTAAATCCTTGATACAATGCGGATCTATATATTAATGCATATTAGACGAGAAATTTATCTTATATAGATCAGACCATTTCATGAAATTATTTTATGCCAAATATGCAAGGAAAGTCATATACAGTTTAGCGTTATTATAACGCGAATGTCAAATTAAGGCTATGGGGACATGTCATTGGACATCTTAGATCGTTTCTGATTTTCTATCTGCAGCTCAAACAAAAGTACATATCATATCATTTTAGAGGAAATTGAATGTTTTTTCCATCTATATCAGTTAACAGGTGTGAAAAATTTGAGATCTGTAGTAGAATTTCGTTTAATAAAAAGCCTCCGAATTATACTTTGAATTATTTTGTCCATCAGGACATTTTATTGGACACGGGAAAACTGACGATGCTTTTAAAGTAGCACCGCAGTTACATAATGATGACTTCAGAGAGCTTCTTTAGGACATGTATATATTTTCTGATATTATTAAAATCCATTTTAAACCGTTAAATCTTATAAAAGTGAAGGCAGAAAGTTTGTGTACGGGTTGAGTAGCTAATTTGGACATTTTTTCTCCTCCTTCTCTAAACTCTTCTGACGATCTTCCTTCTCTAACAGTAAAAAACGTCTAAAACCCCACTTTATGTTAAAGGTATAAAATACAGTTGTAGAATTATATAACATTCTACTTACTATTTAATCCGCACTGGGATTTCAAAGACGAGCACAAAACAAAATTGTAACAGCGGGACACCCTTAAAATGACGTTATAGGCATCGAAATGAGCAGAGTTTTTCATTACATAATGTACAAAGCACAAACTCATCTTTGTTATCGATTTCTTTGGTTTATTTCATTTCGAATGATATGCATAACATGGATATTTATTGTATAGGAAAAGAGCTTTAATTTGAATAACCCGCCATCTATCGTATATTTCCAAAGAGACACCAATACCGTGCATAACGTCTTAATCACTTAATTAGTTATATTTCAAACAGAAAAAAAAAGCGTTTCACCTTTTGAGAATACTAATGCAGGAGTTCCGCAAGGCTCTGTATTGGGTCCCCTACTATTCCTTATTCATGTAAATGACATAGCTGGTAATTTGATAAGTCTAACTCGATTGTGTGCTGATGAAACACACCTTTCTTATTCAAGTAATAGTCCTTACACAATAGAGGATGTCTTAAATAGCGATTTAGAACAAATCTTAGCATGGTCTTAATATTGGCTTATTGATTTTAACCCTTACAAGACAAATGCTATGCTATGGTTGTACTCAACAAGATTCCGACAATTTAGAACATGTTTAGTAAGAAGCAGGAATATTAGTAACTGGGTTGCCCGTGTTTGCTAGTCAGGAAGTTATATATCTAAAGTGAAACAGGCTGACATTTGCTAGTGGATAGAAGAAAGTCCAGAAAGCTCACTATGTTCTATTCTTTATATGATGGGACTGCCTCTACGATTTAATGCCATTTTTTGGTCAAATATCTAATTATAATTTGCTAAACAGTTATAATTATGCGATACCTCGTTATAGATAGATATAACCAGAAAATTCTTTTTTTCGATCAACTACTATTGAACGGAATAGCCTAAACCTCGACATACATACGTCCAGAAATATAAATATATTTTAACGAAAGATGAAGTCTAAATTGATACAGACACCTTAGGTGGCGTAGCTAGGCATTTGTTTTTAGTGTACGCCCGAACTTCGAAGAGGCGTCTAGTGGCAGCAACATACCCCAGCGTGTCTGTGACAGAGCTAGTGTACACGGGTTCCAGAGATCGAAGCCCCCAGGAAGCTCACGCGTTATCAAGAAAGATATACCGGTATCATCTTTTAAAAAAATCATCATTAGCAACATACCTCGGAGACGTATTTGTTTATTTCTTATCTTTACTGTATGCAAATTAAAGTAAAAGAGACTACCATAGATTTGTTATTAATCCCAAATGCTTGATGGGTACAAATGCAGTATTCAGGACTTACATTTTTGCATTAAACCACATTTCAACAGAAATTGGAAAACTGAGCCTGGAAGTATTTCTAAGACACTGATTTTTCCTGTTCTATGTAGCTTTCTTACTGGCAAAAATGGAAATAGATTTTATAAATGCTGTCAGGCACTGACCATTGAAAAACAATCGATCTGTTTAAAAAAAGAAATGAATAAAATGCTCAGCTGGGTGCGGCTTGATACGACTGCAGAGGTCGAACCCTGAACAGTTGGGGCAAGTATGGACACAACATTCAAGCTTGATACAGCGCTGAATTTGGATTGTGATTAAATATTTGACACAGTATAGGTTTCTGACACAGAATGAATGTGGTCTAAGAACTTAAAAAATTTTAATTTACCTATTCAAACCATATCATTATTATTTGCTTTTATATATAAATCAGAAATAACCAATTTAAAATGAAAAATTTTAAAGAAAAAAAAAGGAAAAAAAAATCCCTCCCCCAATTTTTTTGAACCCCCCTTTTGATTCATCACCCCCAAACTCAATCCCAGCCTTCCTTTTGTGGTATGGTACCTTGCAGTACAATTTCAGAGAGATCCATACACTTGAACACAAGTTATTGTCTGGAAACTTGAAAAATGCTTGTTTTCAGGCCCCTTTTTGGCCCCAAATTCCTAAATGTTTAGGACAATTACCCCCAAACTCAAACCCAGCTTTCCCTTTGTGATATATGGAACCTTGTAGTACAATTTCATAAAGATCCATACACCTACACACAAGTTATTGTCCTGAAACTAGAAAAATGTTTGTTTTTTGCCCCTTTTGGCCCCTAATTCCTAAAATCTTGAGGCAATTACCCCCAAACTCAATGCCAGCCTTCCTTTTGTGGTATGGTACCTTGCAGTACAATTTAAGAGAGATCCATACACTTGAACACAAGTTATTGTCTGGAAACTAGAAAAATGCTTATTTTTGGCCCCTTTTTGGCCCCTTATTCCTAAATGTTTTAGGCAATTACCCCCAAACTCAATTCCAGCTTTCCCTTTGTTAAATGGAACCTTGTAGTACAATTTCAGAAAGATCCATACACTTACACACAAGTTATTGTCATGAAACTAGAAAAATGCTTGTTTTTTGCCCCTTTTTTGGGCCCTAATTCCTAAAATTTTGAGGCAATTACCCCCAAATTCAATCCCAACCTTCCTTTTGTGGTATTGAACCTTATGGTAAAATTTCATAGAGATCCATTCACTTAAACTAAAGTTAGAGTGCAAAAACCAATGTGTCTTCGGACGACGACGACGCCAACGTCATACCAATATACGACCGCAAATCGTATAAAAAAACTGTTTTTTTTTTTTTTTTGCAAATTAGTAAAATGACCGTTTGATTTAAAATCATTTGAAATTATTTTGAACTAGATTAATGATAATAATTTATTTACATGTGGAAAAGCTAGACTTTGTGGCGTAGGGATGTGATTGAGTGTTTTGTGTGCAATTATTTCCCATTATTTCGGCTGTGAAAATCTGCAAGTATTCCATCATGTTGTTTGATTTACACATTATAACAAAACTAAGAATATGACGGATAAATTTATAGTTAGCTGTTTAACGTCCAGTGGCAACTATTAGATGTATTATTAAGAGGACATTTAAAATGTTATAAATATGAACAAGGCACAAGCGATGATAGACCCTGTGTTAGCATATGTATATTAAGGGTTGCTCCGAATAAAGGGGATATAGATACAGGAAAATAAAGTAAACAATATAAAATAAGAATAGAGTATAACGGGGAAAATAAAGAATAGAGGAAAATGGTCTTAGAAAATTTAAGAATAGAGGGAACAGTCTAGTTTTTGTTGTTGTTAGAAAATACAAAAATGAAGACGCTCAATTATAATTTCACTTAAGAATTCGAAATTTTTCATTTGCCGGACGCGCTCTTTTTTGATGATTGTCTAAAATCAAGTGCATTTGTAGTAAAAATAATACACTATCGTTTGTACCTTGGTAAGGATTTATATTTGGTGTTGATGAGGCACATAACGGGTAATGTTTTTATTTGAAATTTCTCAAATATTTGATTTTTTTCGACTGATTTGATAGATGAATAAAAATATATCTATAATCTAAAAAAAAAAAGTTTAATTACGATATGTAGATGAAACTGTTATTCAGTCGATGTTTAAATACATGCGATAAAAGTAATAGTACGGAAGCGTATTAGCGCCACACAACTTTATTTTTTGATATTTCTTCCTATGTTTGCGTTATACCGCAAATATTTGCAAAATAATGCAAACCTTTGGGTTATAACGCAAACCTTTGCAAAATAACTCAAACCTTTTGCGTTATAACGCAAACATTTGCGATATAACGCAAACATTTGCAAAATAACGCAAACTTTTGCGAGATAACGCAAACGTTTGTTTTATCTTATTTCTTAGCAAGCTATAAAGGGTCCCAAAAATTATATACATTATAATACATGTATATATATTTTACCAAAAAAATTGAGTAAATTGAAGTTATATCGAAGAATATAAAAAACCAACTCTGCTAATACAGCTATATATAGCCAAATATAAATATACTTCCAAAGTAAGCTCTCGTTTGAGGATTGTGTAAGGTTGGTTAGATCCAAACAAGCTACCTTTTTGCAATAAAATGAAGATGTTTTATTATTAAAATTATGTTCTCTCCATTCAAATTTCTACCCAAAGCATCTTAAAAGTTACTTCACTAGATTGAAATGAAAATTTTATGACTTTCTCTAAGAATCTTTATCATATTCTGAGATTAAATAAAAACCAATTTCTTGCATCAAAATTTAAAAAAAAAAATGTTTCTTTACTAATAATTCATTTTAAAGCAGAAAGATCATTTTGTCTTTTTGACTTGCAAGTTTCACAATTGTATGACATTATTTTTGCTCTTTCAATTAAAATATGCCTATACCATATCTATTTTCTTGTTAAATTATATACTTTTCTGATGCACAAAACATTCTTAATTTATGTATAATGGCACTTCAAGTATTCCCTTATTCCTATGCATATTTATTATAATGATTTGGCCTTGTATTTATGGTTCTTTTCTTATCTAAAATCACAACCGAAATTAATGACAGACGGACATATATACAAAACTTAATGAATAATTGAAATCAAGATGTTTGCGTTATAACGCAAAGGTTTGCATTATATCGCAAATGTTTATTTCGTAAAGGTTTGCATTATTTCGCAAAGGTTTGCGTTATTTCGCAAATTTCGTTATTTAACAAATGTTTGTGTTATAACGCAAACATAGGAAGAAATATTTAAAAAAAAGTTGTGTGGCGCTAATACGCTTCCGTAGAATATATAAATATATATAAATATGATTAACAAACTTTTTGAATACGCCCGCCATGTTTTCAAAGAATAAAGTTCAATAACTTCTCATTGTTATATCAGAAATTTATAAAAAAAAAGTAATGGGAGGTTATCTTAATAGATATAAATCAGTTACCAAAGTTTAATGAAAACTGCTCAAAGTACTATAACGATATCGTCCGAAAACTTGAAAATCACCCCCCATCCCCTCCATTATTCGGAAACTTAAAATCTAAAATTCATAAAAATCAAATGGGAGCTTACAACAATAGATATAAACAATTAACCAAAGTTTCATGAAAACTGCTGAAAGCATTTTTGAGTTATTGTCCGAAAACTGGAAAATCCCCCTTTTTGTAATGAATAAAACCCCATAACTTGAAATCGTAAAATCTAAAATTTATAAAAAAGCGAAAGGGAGCTCATGTTGATATATATAAACAATTCACCAAAGCTTCTTGAAAATTGGTGAAAGTGTTTTTGAGTTATTGTCCGAAAACTGGAAAATCCCCCTTTTTGAAATGAATAAAACCCCAAAACTCGGAAACATAAAATCTAAAAATTTTAAAAAACAAAAGGGAGCTCACGTCAATAGATTTAAACAATTCACCAAAGTTTCATTCAAATTGGTTAAAGGGTTTTTGAGTTAATGTCCGACAAGTTGACGACTGACGGACAGACGGACGGACAATGGTATACCATAATAGTCCCGTAAACGGGCGTATAAAAACGTAAAACGAAGACATTTCCGTTTTTTTTTCATTTTTTTTTTAAGATTTCAGATTAAACAAAAAACAAAAAACACATTTGTTTTTATTTCGTTTTTTTATTTTTGAGATATCAAAAATGAAAAACTAAAGCACTCTTATTATCTATCTAGTGTAGTTTCTGTATTAATAGGCAAAAACGCAAAATTAGGTGAAAATAATACATCCTATACTGACATGACAGAGTCTACTGATGATTCCGGCAATTTGACTTTTTGTTTATCTTGTCTTTATGATTCTTTTTTCTATTTCCATTTGATATCATCTATCTATTATAGTTTTCAAGATGATTAGTAAGAATGCCAAAAAAAATGATAAAATCATTTAAAAAGGGCAATGACGCAATTAAGTAGTCAACTAATGATTTCAGCCGATTTGAATTTTTGAAAGATCTTGTATTGTTGATAATTCTTCTATTTAAAGTTTCTCTCTATCTGTTAATAGTTTTCAAGTTAAAAGGTAAAAAATGTAAACAAATGGTAAAATTCTTCATTTAAGGGCAATAACTTCAAGGAGAAGTCGTCCGACAGTTTTGATGTAAATGCAAAGTAGGCATCTCAACACTCTAGGCATGTATGCCCATTTCTGATTTTCTCTATCTATAGCGGTTTTCAAGATAATAGACATAACTTTCATTTTGCTCCTATGTTCAATTTTTAGCAATGTCGGTTGACTTTGTGATCATCAGACATATTCTACACTAGATACCCAGTGAAGAGTGTGGTAAAGTTTGGTTGCAATTGGCCAAGTAGTTTCAGAGGAGAAGATTTCTGTCAAAAGTTAATGGACGAGGACGAACCAGGGACACCAAGTGATCGGAATAGCTCATTTGAGCTTTGGGTCAGTTGAACATGAAAGAGGCAAAAGATAACTAGTAACAAAAAAGTCAACAAAACACTTCATAGAAAATTAAGGACTTCGCAAAACCAGCCTACCAGAAACTTGAGGTGATCTCATGTGCTCCGGAAGGATAAGCAGATCATGCTCCGCTTGAAGCACCGGTCATGGGTTGCTCATGAAAATTAAAATTTGATGATAAGTCTCGTTCAGGGATTTCACAATTGAGGAAAAGAGGACAAAAATAAATTGAGCCATTATACTTTTAATGATTTTTGAAGCTAATCTTCTTAAATTTCAAATAATGATAAATTATAATTTCTGTTGTTAAGGATTTCGTTATCTTAGTATGAAGTCATGCATTGTAACTAAACTATGGTACCTTCTCAATATATATTTACCTTAGATGTCTCACCAAACCAGTCGTCTTTATATTTATGCTTTCTTTTGTGTTCACCACAATGAAATTCTTTTCCATCTTCCACTTTGCCAAAATCTTTGAAGCCATACTCGCAAGTATAACTAGTTAAACTGCATTTCCATTTAATTTCAAAAGACACAGTTGTCATTCTATTTCTAGTGTTGATGATTCTATCTATTTCGCCTTTAATAAAGCAGAAAATTTCTTCATACTGACAGGGTATTTCTTTATCCCATTGCCAAATTTGAAGCTCTATCATACTACCGCACTTAACTAGGAGTAATTTTGTACAGCCACATTCAGATACATCAAATACACAACAATCTTTAAAGAGTCCCTCCTGCTGTTGAGCAAATGCTACTGTATATTTTCGTAGACATGAGACAATGAGGTGGCTAATAAGATAAGGTGGCAGAAAGTTGAAGATAAAGCATAAGCACATAGATTTATATTCATCTTCTACCTCAAACAATTTGTCCACTTCTTCAATCTTATTCACTTGCATCATACATGGAATGTAGAAAAAAACATCTTTGTCTGTAGGATCTCTGTTCGTCTGAACCACAGGATTTATTATAATGTCAAACTTTTCCATTACAGCAATTAAATGGCTTTGATGATCCTTAATAGAAGCTTGCTGTAAATTAAATATTGCTTGCATCAAATTCGATTTTATCTTTCCAGTTTCTTTTACTTCTTTCCACTCGATGAAACAGGGTAATTTTTCCTGAAACTTTGTGGCAGTTACTATGCATCTGAAAGCGTCTGCCAGCCATTGTGGGTCCAGTATGATGTACTCTGGGATATCATTAAAATACAACAAGTTACCAATTTCATTTTGATATCTTAGAAAAAGATTGAGTTCATCTTCCTCTGTAATTGGAATAGATATTTTAGAAGCTAATTCTTTGACTCTATTGAAAGAAAGGATCCGTACATGTTTTTCTGATGTATATTCAGCATGTAAAACTCTCTCTAGTTGAATAAATTTTACAGGATATTCCTTCTCTGCTGTTTTGCTGTTGGTTGCTAAGGCAAATATATCTTCTCTTATTTTCTGAAATTTATCATTACCATCATTTTTGTTGGAAATCTGATGACATGTTCTCAAATGTAGCCTTGTATCTTTGCAAAGTTTGTCCATGTGAGATGTTATTTGCGTTGAACATTCGTTTTGATTCTATTAAAAGAAATACACATACATAAAGTTTAAACATATTTCTGTTAGGATTACATTGAAATAATGTAACACAACATGTTATTTTATATAATACATATTGTTTCATAACTTTTTTCACGATAGAATACTATAAACCAACTTATTTTCAAGAGTACTTTTTCACAATTATCCCTGTATAGTTTAATAAGCTGCAATTTATGTTTACGATTGTCTTACTTTGTTGGTGTATCCATATGAAGAACATTCAAGAACATATTCCTGACATTTTATATTCACACTATTTTTCAAATTTCAAAGTTGTGAAAATGGTTGCTTAAGCGTATATTTAAAACGTATAGTTGTCATAAATTAGTTCACACTTTTTAGAAATAAACCTAGTGCTTACACATAATTTAGATCTGGTCAATATATAATTCTTACTGATGTTGTTAGAATGATGGTAAAGGATGGGTGGGGTGTATTCATCAAAATTTCCTTGAACATTATAGAATAAGAATATTTTAATTCCATTGAAATTAATTTTAAAAGAAGGGGTTTAGTATCATACCATCATAAAATATACGAGAACATTACCAATACCATGCCAAAAACTGGTTTTAGAATATATTTGTTTTTTTACGGTGTAAAGACCCTATAAGTGGATCAATATTAATACCAAAATATGCCATCTTTAATGACCTCACAACAGTATCGTAACTATATCCCTTCTGAATAAGTCTGTTTAAAGGTTTGGTTATCTTTTGAGGTGAATGTCGACATTTTTGTGCTTTGTATAGAATATTACCACAACAAATTGAATGTGAAATACCTGAACGTATAAGATGTAATCTCATAGTTCTGCCAATTAGTTTAAATACCGGATTAAATCTTGTTGCAAAAACGAGTGGTGGAGCCGCTTTCTTATTTTCATAATTATATTTAAAAGATTCTATTCTCCTTTTATCTTGTTTTTGTTATATTATTGTCAATCTCATTTTGGCAATGTCCCCTTTTAAGTAGTTAGACGTAAAAAGTTGAACTTCTTTATAGAGGTCTTTTGAGTTATTGAAAGACCTAATAAAGCAAATAATGTCTGCAGCTCTGAAGCCTTAGATTACTGACGTAGGGTGGGATGATGTTTGTTCAAGATATTGAAAATTATCAGTTCGTTTTCTATATAGTTTAATGTCTAAAATTAGATTTATTTCAAATCGTTCATCTTTGAAGACAGTTATGTCTAGAAACTTGATGATAACCACATCCAACTAGGAATTTGATATTTGAAATGTACACATTATGACCTATAGTATCCCCATACGTAATAAACTGTTATCACAGAGATATGTCTCGCTTTTTTGTAATTTTGATTATGCAAATGTTGAAATTAAAATGGCAATACTTAACTAGTTAGGATAATATTCAAAGTCAATGAACCATGACTGAGGTACATGGTTAAACCATCTCCATGTAAATGAGATGCGCCAATGCTAATACAACTGCATACCAAATATCATTGACTTATTATAAGTTGTTCCCTTTAAACAAACATAAACACAAACATTAACTTGTAAACTATGTAAAAGTTTCAAAGTCAATGAACCATTAAGAGGGGTTGATCTATATAATCTCCATGGAAACGATACTTACAAATGCCAATAAATTTGCCTACCAAATAACATTGACTTAACATTAGCAGTTCATCTTAAACTGATCTTATCAAACTAATACATGTAAACTAAGCAAAAGTTTCAAAGTCTATAGGCCATGACTGAGGGGATGGGGTCAAATATTCTCCATTGAAATGAGATGTGCTAATGCTTATACAACTGAATACCAATTAACATTGGCCTACCACTAATGGTTCCCCTTAAACTGACCTAATCACAAACTAATACATGTTAACTAAGCAAAATTTTCAAAGTCAATAGACCATGACTAAGGGGGCTGAGTCAAATAATCTCCATGGAAATGAGATGTGCCAATGCTATTACAACTGTATACCAAATATCATTGACCTACCACTAATGGTTCCCCATAAACTGACCTTATCCCAAACTCAATAGACCATGACTGAGGGGGCAGGGTCAAATAATCTCCATGGAAATGAGATGTGTCAATGCTAATACAACTGTATACCAAATATGATTGACCTACAACTTGTGGTTCACCACAGACTAGACCTAATCACAAACAAGTACATTGTTGACACTGCCGCCGACACCGTCGCCGACACCGGAAACAGCATACCTTAGTAACCTATGTCTTGCTTTTTGACTCCGTCAAGCAAGACAAAAATCAAATTTGAACAATTCTTAATATTACAAAAAGGAAAATATATGGCCAGGGATACCTAATAAGAAGGCCTAGGTCCATGCGTCCTTAACCAAAACACCTTTTATGTAATAAGGAACACAGACTCAGCTCTGTGATTTTTTTCTAAGAATACACAAACTATTTAAATTACAAGCATGTGTAAGTTTCTTTAAAAGTACAAAAATAAATGCTGAAAAAAGTATTCCATAAAACTAATCAGTATCATACATTGAGTAAACCAATTCTATATAGCTCTAGACACATGTACAAATGTACATAGAAAATGGAATTAACTACAAAGGATTATAATAAGATACACTGGATTTGTCCTGACTGATTTTAATATAACTCGATGAGACAAAATACATTAATAATGTTTATATATCGGTAGTATATATATTATTAAAAATTTGGGAAGTTTTTTCCGAAAAAAATATGAAAAAAAAACCCAAATTTTGGTAGAATTTGGTGCCATCTCATACTTTTAAACGTGCATTTATAAAATGTTTCAAAAGACCTGCCGAGTTATTTATTTTCAATACATTGAAGGTCGGGTTATTCAATTTCAAACTACAAACCATTAATTTGTGTTATTACTTGTATCAAGGCTGAGTTATTTATTTTGAAAATACTCCTCCCCCCAGAGTATCAAATTGTCGTCCCCTAACCATGTAAATTTAACATTGACCAATGAACCATGAAAATGAGGTCAAGGTCAGATGATAACTGCCAGACAGACATACATACCTAACAATCATTCCATATGCCAAATATAATTGACATATTGCTTACACTTTTAAGAAAAACAGACCAAAACACAAAAACTTAACACTGAGAAATGAACCGTGAAAATGAGGTCAAGGTCAAATAAAACCTGCCAAACTGACATGTACATCGTAAAATATTTTCAAGCACCAAATATAGTTGACTTATTGCATAGAGTATTAGAAAAAAAGAAGAAAACACAACAAAACTTAACTTTAACCACTGAACCATGAAAATGAGATCAAGGTCAGTTGACACCTGCCAGTTGAACATGTACACCTTACAATCATTCCATACACCAAATATAGCTGACCTATTGCTTATAGTATCTGATATATGGACTTAACCACGAAAAGTTTACCCTTGTTAACTGTTCCATGAAATGAGGTCGAGGTGAGATGAAAACTGTCTGACACGCATGAGGACCTTGCAAGGTACGCACATACTAAATATAGTTATCCTATTACTCATATTAAGAGAGAAATTAATATCACAAAAAATTTTAACTTTTTTTCAAGTAGTCACTGAACCATGAAAATGTGGCCAAGGAAAATGGACATATGGCAGACGGGAACTTCATAACAAAAAGCATCTATATACAAAGTATGAAGCGTCCAAAGTCTTCTAGCTTCTAAAATATAAAGCTTTTAAGTAGTTATTTAAAGCCGCCGTTGCTGCTGCCGGATCATACCCCTATGTTGTGCTTTCTGCGAAAGAAGTCGCAGGCTTGACAAAAAACTGTACTTAAATATATTATATACCTGTAATTCATCTGTGTGTGTGCCAACAAAAATCACTGGTGGGTTTAGCGGAGTATCTTGTGTATTAGGACCAACTTCTTGTGTGTCTGCTCTGCATCCATAGCAGTGGATTGTCTCCATCCAAAATTTGAAAGTCACTATAACAAATCATAGTTTTTTTATTTTTAAGTTCTAAGTTGATGTTTGTTTTTGGTATTTCTAAGGTGAATTTCAGCCTGCCTGTATTAACTTAACCACCAGCTTAATATAAAGTTCAAAACTTGATTTTATCTTAATATAAGTAGAAAGCTGAAATTTATGAAAGATATGAAACATTTTTAGTATCCAAAAGTATGTACAAGTCTGTTCTACAAAATAAAAAATACTCTCACAGTCTCACTACAAACTGCTGAGTCTGAAAAGACCATATTTTGTGCTCAACCTGTCAGGTCGAGCAAATATTTAACTTGACAAGACTCAACATAATCTTGGTTGTACCAAACTGTGCTTAACTTTGGTCTAAACTTTTCTTAATAGGTCCGTTGAGTACTTGATAATCTTGGTATAGTCTGAATAAGGTATTGACAAATGATCGACTAGATTTTACATTTGTGTGCAGCTTTTGATTACATTTCTCGCATTCCTTTTACAGGTAACATAGGTAAAAATAAAGATAACTCCTAATAAATAATATTATGAATTTGGAATATATTTGTAAATCTAAATCATATATTTTTTCAAATTGAATACTAAGAAAAAAACATAAGTGATCGATCATGAGAAATCCTGTAATAGCTTGAGACATTCAATAATTGCGAATATTTCCGAGTAAATTGTATTCTTTTTCCTAATTTTATACTGATTTAGTTAATAATCTAACATGTCGATTAACCGTAAATGATTGTAAAGGTATTTCACCAGATTCCTTATTTCCTCTTTGGACATCACTACCATCAAGAATCCAGATATACAACAAACGACAGGGATCATTCCATGCTCACTACAATGAGCAATTTTATTCAGCACATCCATATATATTTGTGTTTCATAAAGCAGAGGGCTAAAAATATTCTGCACGTTATGACATGTAAAATCAGTACTTTAAATCTTTAGATTTGCTGTGTTTTTACATTTTAATCTGTATATTTTTACAGGACTAATTGCTTGTACATACATGACATAATAAAACAGACTTATTCTTCTCGAAAAAATGGTTAAATAAATAAGTATAATCTACCTGAGTTTACCTGTAAAAATATGAGCTCAAATGTAATCAATAGCAGAGCACAAACGTAATGATTTTTGCACACAAATGTAATGCATCGGTCTTGACCCAGTCTCTACCAGTTTTGATATTTAAGTTTAGTCTCGACTGATCTTGACTCAGTCTGAATCAGCACATCTATGTCAATTAGATATATATTGATTCTATAAAATCCCAGGTTATTAGGTAGTTTTGTTTCCTGCTGTAAAATTTAAAGATTTGATTATTGTGAACCAAATGAAATTTTTCCATGGATTCATCTATTGTTCAATCTATTCAAACTGTTGTCAGTTCTATTGTCCCATTGAATAAATACAAACGCTATTGTTCTCTTTCTATTTTTTTTTAATGGGTCCTTTAAATTTCTTCTAAGAGAAATCCATCACTCTTTGATTAATTTACTTGATTAAAAAAAAATATCTTCTAAATAGATGAAAATACATGTTTCAACTAAAAAAAACTCGTGTGATGTTGTATTTATTCAATACCAATAATATATTTTCAATCTTATCAATCCAACATAAACAGTGTCAAGTATAAAATTGTTCAAGGCTTAAATCAGTGTTCAATTTGTTCTTTCTTTGAGTCATATGACGAGTTACTATAGACTGCTACACTGTACATAGTCCAAGTCGCAGAGCAACAAAAATTCAAAATGATGGTAGAGTATGATGACAAATAAATTCTACCAACAAGCTTTTGGTAAAATGGTCTTTTGAATTGCAAGTATTAGCACGTTTGGGCTTGGACAGAAAGACTATATTCCCAGAGCGGCATGTGGTAGGGGTTAATGAAATTAATTTTTAACCTTAAAACAAACATACCTGTCAAGTTTTGAAAATATCTATGATGAGTACAGTATTGAATTTTTTTCAGCAATGTTGCATATTTTTTTGGTACTATTTGCATAATAAGTTACATATCTTCTTTTATCTAATGACATACACCGTGATGTCTTCAATTAATGGGCTTCTTTTTCTTTTTCTATAAAATTTATGATTGTTTAATTTTTTAGCTATTGAGGTGTAAAAAAAGATTTTACATGAAGGATCTTTGTTATATATTTATCGTGGATTGTAGTGATGACTATTTCATTAGAGTATACATGTTTATTAAAGTACAATCTACACACACAATGAGTACATTTGCAATACATCAGTATATATATGAAACAAAGAGTAATTTAATGTCATGGGAAAGTTACGCCCATAAAACTTAACAGAATTCTGTAGCTGTGAACTATGATAAGAGATAATACACCTTTCCACTATCTACTGGTATGCCCCCCCCCCCCCCCCCCCTTAGCAACACATAGTAACCCAGCATCCTAGGTCAAGCTAATCAACAAACTGGCGGTTATTTTGAACATTGAATAATAACAAAGTAAAGAATTTGTTATAACAAATATAATTAAGAGAAATATTTTGTTCATATATTTGTTTTTGTGTTAAAGTATGATTAGATAGTTACTCCTGAAGGGTTGAGAGATAAATTTATGACATTTTAAAGAAATAATGTCCATTCATACTGATTAAAAAGAAACAATTAAAATATTGCAAATAATAAATTGAAGCTATTGGATTACCCTCTTTCCCCAAAAATGTAGTTTAACATATAGAATATTACATTGCATGATTAATATGATAAATTATGATGATAAATTACAGGTCTAATTAAGCATGTCTAATGAATGCTGATAAGTGTGTTTACTGCGTAGACAAACACAGCATGGGTCAACTTGTAAAACAAGCATCATTGCTCCAGTACCAATTGATTTGTTATCAAATAACATTTAACAGGTTTTCTGTTTTTATATTCATAGATAACTTAATGATAATTAAAATTAAATATAAAGAACAAAAGAAAACTAATTGATTATTTGCTTGCAGGAATATTTGGCCATTGTACTTCGTCTTTGTTTTAAATTTATATACAACTCTTGTCCTTAACAGGAATCTTTGCACATTGTACTGACCCTTTTTTTCAAATTAAGAAAATAAAATGTATCCAATAGTTTTCACTGAATTTTTTCCTTTTTTGTAATTTATACCCAAAAAAATTGAAAAAGGTCAAGTACAATCAGCAATACCTCCACAATAGACCAAAATCATATCAAAATAAACATTATGTTACTTTTTATGAAGCATCTATTGAAATATAATTTTTTATTATTATTTGGGATTCCCCTCTGTCTTGTAACGAAATGCTTTGAGGGCAGTACAAACATAAATACTTTCATTTTTATATATTTTGTACACAAAAAGACTAGAAATATCTAATTCACTACATCATTTCATTCCATGCAGACTTTCAGATCAGTAATTTTAATTTATATCTCATTCCAATGAGGTTGAATATAATGTTTCCTCCAGATAGATTTTAAGGTGGGAAAACTTGCACTACCTCTAAAATAATTTGATTGTCAAAGAACATGGAATAGTTATTGTACACATATTATACTGGAAAATGAAAATACTATTTTGTAAATCTGTCCATCCAAAAGATGATATCCTGAAGTTTTCAATTTAAACTGCTTCCAAGTACAAATATTTTAACATTTGAATAAGTTATAGATAATTCTTTGTAATTGAAATGGGAAAGGTATCAATTCTTTTGTTGATGAATCTTAACTATATGATATATAATGTAATTTCCAGAAATTATACATATTTACTTGCATGTTTTATAGTTATAAATCATTTAACCTAATGAAAAAAATATCAATTTCAACTCAATTTGTACACCAATTCAAACTCTTGTTTCAGAATATATATTTTTTTTTCATTTTTTAAAATAGCATGTAAACAATATTTTAAAAACAATAAGCAATGCCATCATAGTCCTTTTTAATTGATTTATTAACAACTGTAATTCATTAAAAAAATCTTCTTTTTTTTTTGTTTCAAGTTGACATCTTGACCTTCCTCTATCCTCTTACATTGATTCCTTTCCAAAAAACAAAATTCTGGACGATTTAATTGTGAAAATTTCAAAAAATGTTAAATCAAATTATCTGTTTAGATAAGAATGTTTCACAAAGGTTATGGCCGACAACACGTGCTGCTATCAAATGTTTACACATGTGGTAAATTTACCACATGTGATTGGTCAATTTGCTGATGATTGACAGGAGAGTGGAAAGGTGTATAATCTATTGACAGACACATCGGCTAATCTGATGATAATAAATTCCTAACTGTCAGTATTAATTATAAGCCAATTAAACTATAGTGATAATGTATCATGTAAACATAACAATTTTCCTCCCTTTAATTTAGAAGATCAAGATAAGCAAGATTAATCTCTAGTGAAAAGTAAAATTACAAAAATACTGAACTCCGAGGAAAATTCAAAACGGAAAGTCCCTAATCAAATGGAAAAATCAAATGATAAAACACATCAAATGAATGGACAACTGTCATATTCCTGACTTGGTACAGGCATTTTCAAATGTAGAAAATGGTGGATTGAACCTGGTTTTATAGCGCTAAACCTCTCACTTGTATGACAGTCGCATCAAATTCCATTATATTTACAACGATGCATGAACAAAACAGACATAATAGGTAACATTGTGAAAATATGGGTACAGCAGTCATCACTGTGTCACAATCTCAAAACAAACAAACATTTAACAAAAAAGCACAAAAAGCATCTATCAAATTTAACAACCACATTCATTGCTTACTTATGTATGTATTATAAATCGACCCATAAAGGATTGAAATATTTAAAGTCCTGTGACTGCATTCACATCTACTCGTAGTGTAGAGTCGTGTGTTTGACCCCAGAAAATGTAAACGTCACACAGGAAGAAATATAAAATAATTTTGTCGTTCAAAGTATTTTCAAAATCAATTAACGCTACAGTTATATCACTACACTAATTTAACC